GACACTGTTGGGGATTTATTCAAAATTGAAGGCACACTGAACCAGCATGGCTACCACAGCATCCTGCAGCGACATGCCATCCCATCCGGTTTGCGTTTAGTTGGACGATCATTTATTTTTCAACAGGACAATGACCCCAAACACACCTCCAGGCTGTGTAAGGGCTATTTGACCAAGAAGGAGAGTGATGGAGTGCTGCGGCAGATGACCTGGCCTCCACAGTCACCGGACCTGAACCCAATCGAGATGGTTTGGGGTGAGCTGGACCGCAGAGTGAAGGCAAAGGGGCCAACAAGTGCTAAACACCTCTGGGAACTCCTTCAAGACTGTTGGAAAACCATTTCAGGTGACTACCTCTTGAAGCTCATGGAGAGAATGCCAAGAGTGTGCAAAGCAGTAATCAGAGCAAAGGGTGGCTATTTTGAAGAAACTAGAATATAAAACATGTTTTCAGTCATTTCACCTTTTTTTGTTAAGTACATAACTCCACATGTGTTCATTCATAGTTTTGATGCCTTCAGTGAGAATCTACAATGTAAACAGTCATGAAAATAAAGAAAACGCATTGAATGAGAAGGTGTGTCCAAACTTTTGGCCTGTACTGTATATATATACATATATATATTTCTTTAAGAACAGGCCATTTTATCTTTGCTAAAAAATATGTTGAAGTCATGTTAGTGTGTAGCCTATTTTTAGACATTTTAAATTTTGAAAAAAAACAAAAACAAAACAGGTCCCCCTGTTGAAGACCCAGGTTTTAGACTATTAAATATAGTGACCAACACTGATTAGTATAATTTCACAGAGAACAAGGTCTCCTATTTGAATTGTTGGTTTTTTTTTTGGTTTTGTTTTTTTTTGCTTGTATTGTTTTTTCCAACCAGCATCCCAAAAGATACTCAGTTTTACTTTTATATATGACATTAAAAAAAAAAAAACTTCACATCTACATATTTGAGAAGCTGGCACCAGTAAATGTGTGTCATTTGTGCTAAAAAAAATCATCATAATAATTGATGATTATTTTTCTGTTTAATGCTAGATAATTAAAATGCTTATTGCTTTGGTTCCAGTCTAAATAAATTTAGGGATGCAACAGATTATAATAATACTACTACTACTAACAATAGTAATAATAAAAAAGAGTTCAAAACAGAGTTACAAAGTGCTTTACATGTCAATAATTAAAACAGAGAAGACATGAAAACAACAACTTTTAAAAGAACTGATAAAAACACTTTGGTGTAGAAAAACTGAGGGAAATAAAAGAGTCTAAATGAACTTAAAACTATAGCATTATTAATATTGTTTATAAATTGATTACTGTCTTTATCAGTTTATTTGACGATTTTGTTCTTGATTACTTGAATTGTTTGTTGAATTTCTGAAAGTAGAGGAAAGGGCCCGTCATAATTTTCCACAGTCCAAGGGGATGTCTTCAGATGTTTTGACCGACCAACAGTCAGAAACCCAAAGATGCTCAGTTTATCGTCATGTATGACAAAGACAAGAATCAGATCTTTATTTAAGAAGCTGGAACCAACAAATGTTTAGGTTTTTTTTTTTTTTGTTTGTTTTTTTGTTTTGCTTAAGAGATGACTAAAATGAGCTTCTGATTTTCAAATTCATCAACAGCAGAAATGAAAAGCCATGTAAAGAAAGCTAAAACGACATTTTAATTTGACTTTAACATTTCAGCAGTCTCACCTACTTTGCATAATGTTGTGCTGCTTCCACTTGTGACAGGTGTTCTCATTTATTTATTTATTTATTTATTACTGTTGTTAACTTATCAGGTCACGAAGAGAGACCAGGATGGATGGGGGTGGAGGCCACAAATCTGGAAGGTGAGTTTTCTAAATCTTTAGTTAAAACAGTATCACAGTAATATTGATTCTTTGGCTAACTGAATTAGATGTTTAAAACAATGCACTACAGTATGTACCCCTGAAGGCTTTATTGTGAGTCATTACGAACATGTCCTCCTTTTTTGTTTCACAGCCCAATTTACAAACGAAGTCCAGACATGACGAAATCTCTGATGACAAAATCTGAGCAGCTCCTGAGAATAGATGACCACGACTTCACCATGAGGCCGGCATTCGGAGGTCAGATAAATGAGTTTCAGTTGTGCAGCTCAGACATGGTGGGTGCACGCTGCAGAGGCTTCATGCTCAGCTTTGTTGCAGTGGTTGTTGGTTTGATTTGAGCCTCACAGTCCTGTAAGCATTAAGCTCTTGGAGACATTAATTGTGTTGGAGTTTCCAGTTGCAGTTCTTTACATCACAAGAATGTTAATACGCTCGGTTAATACACTTGCTTCAGCGCTGTACATTAGAGGGATTTGCTATCAGACAGGCACACAGGCTTTTGTAATGAAATATAAATATATTTATAATCCTTTTAGCTGTCTTTAAAGGCAAATAACCACAAACACGAGAGCTGTATTTAACTAAAAAAAAACTAAAAAAAACAGCCATGAGGCTTTGAAGAGAGAAACACGTGTTGTTGTTTTTTCATACCGCGACTACTTTTAATCACACGACAATCTGCTGCTGAGATCACATCAAGTGACCCTCGCCAGACCCTTTAGCTGCTGATGTCCAGCGTCAAGTGTGTCTCAGCTGCAAGTGGAAGAGAGAGAGCTGGATTTCATCCACAACTTTTATTCCATTATTGTGACCTAATTGTGTTTGTGTACTACTATTGGAGGATGATGATGATGATGCAGAGTAGAAAGGCTGAAATAGGTCAAAAGTAGAATCCCAGCCAGACCGACGCAAGCAGTTGTTCTATATTTGTCTGACTCATTGTTCTTTTTGGACACGTGATATCCAAAACAAAAGGTTCAAACAGTATCGGTTATGGTCACCTTGACTGTTTTACCCAGTGTCGCCCAAAATCAGGCAGAGCTCAACTGGCTTCTGGAAAATATCACGTATGCATTTGTTATGCTTTTCTGACATGAGTTCATTTTATCTCAGGTCCTCCAATTCCTGTTGGAGTGGACGTTCAGGTAGAAAGTCTGGACACCATCTCCGAAGTGGATATGGTAAGTATGAAACAGCCTGCTGGTACTTTTTAGAATAATGTGTTACAGATTAAAAATAAAACACCAGTGTTGAGGAAGGTACTTAAGTATATTTACTCAAGAGCTGTCCTTATAAGTATGATATGTATCATTCCCATATTGAAATGTCTAAAAGCGATGAGACCTATGTTATATATTTTGTTGAGTCATGTACTTACATCATCCCAAATGTTTCTAACAATGTTCAAACCAAGAGAATTCTGTAATTTTATGTTACATATGTATATACATATCCTCCTTACCGCCTCTAGTTGCTCTAACTTGTGGGCAAACAGGAGAAACAAGGGTTAGCAAGCAAGTTACATTAATTAATGTTACTGGTGGCCAGAGGGTAAAAGATATATTTATATATATTTAAAATGGGCATGAATGGGCCCACATGCCTTGTGTAGGTATGGGCGCAGGTAAAAATGAACTCAATGTGTGCGAGCAGTGGTTGAGAACAAAAATTATCAGGTGCCCAGGCTGGTAGTGTGGACACTCAGCAGCTTTTGCTTGATTGTGAACCACTGTATTTTATGGCAGACTGACAAAATATGCATGTTTGATGGAACAATATTTTGAAGCTGAGGATGCAGCTGACTGGTAACAGTTTCATTTCATTTCATTTACTTACTTATACAGGAAATGAATTAAAAGAAACATTGTGTTTTACACTTAAAACTGGCCTGCTGAAAAACTGGTTTTCAGCAGGTTCTTGTTACGCAACAAAAACACATTACAATACAGAATAAAAACAGAAACAATCAACAGAGGCAAAACAACAAAATGTAGGCAGCTACTGTACACAGACAATGCAGAGTAGCAGACTGAAGTGGAGTGAGTAATATGGAATTTAAATCAGTGGTTGCAGGTCTGTCCTTCCATCAGATAGTGTTTGTATGCGGGTTTGAAATGTGCAGTAGAGAGTATTGCTCTAATGTAGTGTGGGATCTCTGATTATAATCGTTTCTGTAAGGTGGTACAGGGATAAGTGCATGTGAAATTGTCACTTTGGATATGTGGAAAGATAATTACTACAAAATTGGTTATCTTTAGGTCACTTTGCATCACAATGGCATCAAGTGGGAGCTGACTTGCACATGTGAATGTGCATAAGCACAAAATGGTGTGTTTATTCATGGGTTGGGTCTTGGGACTCATATTTATGGATGAGGCAGGGTCTGGATTTGAATACAGATTGGTTCAGGTACTGAGTTTGGTGTGTTTGCCAAACTGGACCCATTCAGGACTCTGCCTGTGGCTGTTTTGTTAGAATTAAATAACATAACGTGAATAAAACATGTTTCCTTGTCCATGAGCATTTTTTGTCTTAGCCATGTCAGATAGATATTCACCAGCGATGGTAGCTATTTAACAATGAAGACAACTACTCCTATGATCCTACGCTACTTCACAACATCATCAAGGTCTGTCTTTTGTTATTGTTCTGATTTTGAGACCCCTTTCAGCAGAAGTTACATGCTGCACATTTAAGAACAGTTTTGTGGTACTTTTCTTGAGTATTTCCATTTTCTGCTTCTTTCCACGTCTACTCAGATATGTCATTCATCTTTGTAATAACTACAATATAACATTAAAACACATAACAAGTTTATAAAATACAGTGTGTTGTTAAAGATTAAACCTGTGGCTTAGCTGTTGTTGTGGCTTGTGAAAAAAGTATTGTCTAGTTGGGACACAAAATGGTTTACATGTTTTTGTGTGTGTGTGTGTGTGTGTGTGTGTGTGTGTGTGTGTGTGTGTGTGTGTGCAAGCTCGGGAATATTAGTCAAACTAACATTTATTGTTTTAATAAGATATCTCAGAGTCTTTATGAATGTATGTTATATGTTATATGTTATATGTACATTCAGAGAAATATCAAACGAGCTGCTTGTTTATTCATTTTAAGAGTGGCTCTTATCTGTTTTTACAAATGAACTCTCAGTTAGTTTTCAGACGTCCAAGAGTTAGTTTGCAGTTCCACCAAAGATCTCAGTATTCAAATGATCTAATTGTTCACAAAAACAAGAGGAATATTAGATAATACTCCAACAAACAAATACAAGGTTGTGTATCAGAACCTCATCATCTCTTGACAGCACAGATTTATCCCGAGACCCTTTGCAGGCGTCCGAACCCTAGGGTGGGAAGCTAAACAACCAAACTGTGTATGGTACATAAACTAGCTCCAGCTCAACAAGCTACAACAGTATAAAGCATGTCAGCACCAGTTTCTTGTCTTCCTGTAGGACTTTACCATGACACTTTACCTGCGTCACTACTGGAAGGACGAGCGGCTGTCGTTCCCTAGCACCAACAACCAGAGCATGACCTTCGACAGTCGCCTGGTGAAGAAGATTTGGGTTCCTGACATGTTCTTTGTCCACTCCAAGCGCTCCTTTATCCACGACACCACAACCGATAACGTCATGCTGAGGGTTTACCCCGATGGCAACGTCCTCTACAGTCTCAGGTAAACACGTCGACGGGAGCCCAGAGAGGACAATCAGGTGTCTTTTTAAGAATACTGACAAAATGCTTTCACAAGCAGTTTGTATATTTGGAAAAAAAAGCCAAAGACTAAGGCAAAGAGGCTGGTGATTCATCACTAAAAAAGAAGAGAGGTTATTCTCCTGTATTGTAAAAAGAAAATTAGGAAAAAATCATCATAAAAAAGCTTTTTACAACAGCTGTAGGACTAGAGCTTTCCTATGATACCACACACATCATTGTGCTGTCATCCCATCATGCTATAAATCCAGATTAATTGTCTACAAAATAAAAACCTGAGGAATTTCTTTACAATCCATTGTACAGATCTTGTTATCAGTCACTTCATATAGTGAGGAATATTGTATCTTACCACGTCTTAGGCTTGCGTGTGTTTCTCCCTGTCTATCCACATTTGTAGTCCAGCTTTCAAGATGCAGATATCTCCATATTGTCCAGTTGACACTCCATCAAACTTTGTATGACAAGACCAGCCACTTCACCTTTGCGCACCCAGACAACTGTAGCCTAATTATGCATGCATGACAGGGCCGTAGTCACCATATACATTGAGGGGGACATGTGTCCCCCCCAATGCCCAAAATGCCCCCCCAATATATAACTGAAACTGAAAAACAACAACAAACTTTGTTTACTGCAAACAAAGTGACAAATATTATCTTGGAGGACATCATTGCACTTGGTTGACTATTTTTCTATGATCTTAGATGTAAATATTGCATGTTTCTTTCAGATAAAACACATTTTTGACTTGTGAATGAGTCAATGGAATTTCTTGCAATAATGAAAAAATACTGGCAATCATGTCCGCCTGGCACAAACCACATGTTTTGGACAGCTGTGAAGTGACAGAATGTCCCAGCATCATGGTTCTTATATTGCCAGATTCCAGAGAGTCTCCCCTCTTCATATATGGCAGAATATGTCTTTTTCCAACTTGCTATGGTGAGATACATGTAAAAATGTAAGAATTTAGTAACACGGATTTGTTTTTTTCATTGATATAAAAATTAATATAAAATACAGGCACATAGAAGAACATGGAATGATGACAAATCTGGATAGCCCATATTGCCCTGAAAAAACAAGATATAGCATGTGTATGTAGCCTTTATAATGACTGTGATATGAGCTTAAAAGTAAAGGCAGGAAAAATACCCCAAAAACGCCTAGGGCCCATAGGGTTAATGATTTTGGCAGCAGGTGGTGCATTTTTTGGAACAACATTTCTGTGTCATTTGATCATGTGTAATCAGTGTAGCTGATGAATGTGAAAGTGTCAAGTTTTGAGAGGAGAATGTGAAATGCCTGCGACGTCTGTCACTGCAGGGACTTTTTTTTATTCAGTCATCAGGCAGTTATTTTAGGCAGTTTTATTTTACTTAAATTAGGCAATCTGATGGGAAATTGGGGGGAAAGAGGGAGAAGAGGGGAAACAAGACTGCAGGAAGAAAATACAGGAAAAGGAAAACTGAAAGAAACATTTGAAGGGACAGATAACCAAATCAATCAAAAATGTATATATCTTCTTACTGGACATGCGCTGCTACTTATTAATTTAGATTATTTTCCTGTGAGTTGCAGTGTTGGCGATACTGGCCGTAGAGATGTCTGCCTTCTCTCAAATATAATGAAACTACATGGCATTTGGCTTGTGGTGCTCAAAGGACATTATACTATATACAGAACGCAGGAACTGTTTTCTTTCTACCGAGCTACACCCAGCAACCGTATCACTGCACAGAAGGAAGCATCTACTCATGGACTAGAGGCTTGTTATTGTGACACCTCGAGGTGTAAACAGTAATAGCTACCTGTTCTCCCTGCAGAGTCACCGTCACTGCCATGTGCAACATGGACCTCAGCCGCTTCCCTCTGGACACCCAAACCTGCTCGTTGGAGATCGAGAGCTGTGAGTGAATTTATCAAGAATATGAACAGATATTTCAGAGAGACAATCATTTTTTTCCACTGCTATCATGTTGATTTATCCATACCACCATCAGGTCAAAGTTTCCTCTTGACTCTGTAAAATTAATTTCTGCCTGGCGTTGCTCTACATCGAGTCAAGGGCCACTGCAGTGCTTTACTCTTTTCATCCCTTAAGAGTAGAACTGAGCTCATGCCGGGACTCCTGCCTGTAGCACTTAACTCATATGGGGACCTTTGTCCTTATCTCTTAGTCCTCTTAGTCTTCTAAACCCCAGTGCACATGAAAATGTTGAAGATCAAATGCGCATGTCCTTCATATCACTTAATCAATTTACATTTAACTTCAAGGTTCTTTTGGAGGAATTCTGACACCAGTCACTGCATCTCCTCAAACTCTGGCAAGGTCACACAACGAATTACAGATGAAAAGATCTCCTACCTTTTTTTATGTGCTGCTCGCACAGAGTGAAGAGATGCAGCAAACTGGATGTCGTTCCCAGGCCCATCCTGCCGACAATGCCAAAAATATTTTGTAGCATAAACAAGACTTAAAAAAAGGAGAGGCTCAAACATGGAGTTGCACATGTGAGGGTTTACTCACGAGAAAGCCAAAGAGTTGGTACATCATGACAATTTATTGTGTCTGACAAACAGTATCAGTTGACACACCTACAGCTTTAAACACACATTAAAAGGTGTTTCCTGTCACTTAAGCTGCTGTTTTCCTGTTATTTAGACAACCAGCTCCAAGAACAGTTGCTTCTCCCCACATGAATAAACTCCAGATCATTTAGCTGAAGTCACGTCAGGATAATAAGGTTATGTCAGGGTCACATACATGATAATTCCAACCTTTCTGACTGTTCTTGGAGCACCATCACTGTGTTTCACCTATGTACAAGAAATATCAGCATTTACTGAACACATTTACACCTCTTGTTCATTTCCATTTTGGACACTATATAGGCTTTCCTCTTGTGCTTGCCTCAGGCCGAAGTGTCACATTTGCTCACCAGATATCTCCTGAAATCTCAGATGTATCGTGCCATGATGTGCCTCTAGTATCACCCCATTTAGCTCTTCTGCTAGTGAGGCTCAAAGACGTCTTCTTGGACTGCCAGTGCCGCTTCAGAGTTGCAGTCATGTCTTGTGAAATTGTCTGTATCCCGTGTTTTGTTCACATTAACATCCAGCATTGTTTGTGCTAAATCCGTCCTGATTTGGTTCGCTACAGATGTGCTCACTTCTTCTTCGTCTCCCCCCTCCAGATGCATACACAGATGATGACCTGATGCTGTACTGGAAGAAAGGCAACGAATCCCTGAACACGGACGACAGAATATCTCTGTCCCAGTTCCTCATCCAGAAATTTCACACCACCACCAAGCTGGCTTTCTACAGCAGCACAGGTAATCCACGACACAACAGGCACTTCTAATACATACGGTAAACTGCACTGATTATGCAAATGAGCCAAATGTGTGAATCGTGCTTGTAAAAAGTAGATCACAATTGAATTACAACTTCAATGAATCTCATTTTACTTTATAAGCCTTTTCCTACTAAAGGATGGAGCCTTCCTTACATGCCCTTTGAATGTCACACCAACAAGAACGCACTAATATTTAATCCTTACAGTGAAACGAAATGAATCAAACTACTGCCAACCACTTGTACGTGGCTGGAAAGCCACTGTGACAGCCCTGCAGCCTTCTTATAACCACATGTCACTTTCTAGCTCTCAAGAGCGACCTGAAGCACAAAAAGGATTTCGCGTCCTATCTCTGCCTGCCACAATAGCTGGGAGTATTTGCACGGTGTATCGGCAGCTAACACATGACGACGTAATGGTGATGTTTCTCTTTCTCAGGCTGGTACAATCGTTTGTACATCCACTTCACCCTGCGGCGCCACATCTTCTTCTTCCTGCTGCAGACCTACTTCCCTGCTACTCTCATGGTCATGCTGTCATGGGTGTCCTTCTGGATTGACCGCAGGGCCGTCCCCGCCAGGGTGCCACTAGGTAGGACAGAGTTTCCTTCACAGGGCAGAGTCGTAGCAAAGAGCCCCGGCTCTACTAAAAGATTGTTTAGTTTGAGTGTGGGGAAGCAGGTTAGCAGAGTGCAGTGGTTTTCATCCTCTTAGCCCAAAGTTTTTGGAAATACACTTATTGTTTTCTTGCTGAGAGTTAAATGAGAAGATCGATACCACTCTCACATCTGTACCATAATTATGTACAGTAACTGGTGAGAAGGCTTGGCATGAAGACTATAAACAAGAAGAAACAACTCGTCTGGGTCCATCCAAAGGTAACACAAAATGCTTATCAAGATCATTATTACTCTGTCTGGTTTCGTTGCCCAGAAACCAGCAGAGATTCCAGGAAGTCACTGGTCCCAAGCAAAGAAATAGATGGCCCAAATTGTTGTTTAGGCACTTTACTTTTTGTATGAATGAGACCAGGGGTAGGCGACCTGCAGCTCTGGAGCCGCATGTGTCTCTTTAGCCTGTCTCCAGTAGCTCCCTGTTGCTTTGACAAAAAATTACATAGAAATTAAGTTTCATTTAATTTTCATATATCATTGTTGTTGACCTAAAGTGATTCTTACATTCTCCAACTGTATAAATATGTGCCCTATACACATTTTGTCATAGGTCATGCAGCCCAGCGTCCTATCCTCTAAATTTTGCTGAACCTCAATAGCGGTGGTTCTTAATCCATTTGATCCAATAACACTTCAAATGTGTAGAGGAGCCGCATGATTAAATCATTTTATCCCCATTCAAGTTAGCACAGGGCTTAACCAGAAGTTGCCACGCTTGGCTGATGTAAGTTTTTGTTGTGCTTGCTCTGTCAGCCCATTGCATAATCTTATACCTGAGAGGCTGAGCTTTTTTGGGCCTCATGCATTCATATAACTTTCATCAGTGAACTTGGCCCCTACTCCAATGTTGTATCCAATGCTCTTTATACATCCATGGGACACAGGGTAAATCAGCTAGTCTGGCTCTGCTCATTCAAAAATAGTCCTGCACATAAAACCACAACCTTTTTTACACTTTGTTTTTTGTAAGAATTAAACAAATAAGATCTAAAATGTTTATTAATGAGCTTTAGAGGTGCTAGGCTGATTTTTTTGCTTGTTTAATTTTCGACAGAGCCAAGCTGGCTTTGTCGCCCTGTTTCCAATCATTATGCTAAGCTAAGCTAACCATCTGCTGGCTGTAGCTGCGTATTTACCGCACACATGTGAGAGTGGAATAAATCTTCTCATCTAACTCTCTGCAAGAAAGCAAATCAGTGTTTTTCCCAAAACTATTTCTTCAGTTAAAAATAAGTGTCAACTTGTAGCACCTTGTCTCTGTGAGCTCTGAGCAGTTTATCGAGTGATTTCCCATCCCTGGCTGAAGCATTATAATGTTTCTTAAAGGAGGTAAATTCAATTGTGCTTTCACAGGGATAAAGTAATGGACAGGAGAATCTGCAGTCCAGTCACCAGAAGAAAATGTTGGTATTGTACGTTTCTGCAAACCACAGAAATTTTAATTTGTACATAGTTTTAGTGGCGTATTTCGGATTGTATGTATATCAGCTGACTTCTATAAGTGAGTCAGCTGCGGCATTTCCAGCTTTGATTGAGGCACCAAAAATGGGATGTCCGTGTTTTGCATTAACATATATGCCAACATATTTTCTGGCAATTTGGTTAAAATCTCATATAACGAAGCATTTGCTGAAATATACAGAGGAAGTTATCCAATAAGTCATTCATTTTTTGTTTTGCAGCTGAGACTAACCTCTGGCCCTCCTGTGAAGGTGGTAGAGCAGTTACAGAATGTTCCCACAGTGACTTATAAAATATTGTAACAGATTAACAAACAGGTGCACACGTTAAAATAACTGCAGCCCACAATGACACAATACTAGTGTCTCATGTTTCTATGATACTTAGCATTTAATTTTAGCTTCCCAGCCCGGTGATACAGTACATACATACGTAAGCGCTCTGATGTCACTAAACAGTTTGTGTGTTCCACTCCAGGCATCACCACAGTGCTGACCATGTCCACCATCATCACCGGGGTCAACGCCTCCATGCCGCGGGTCTCCTACATCAAGGCAGTGGACATTTACCTCTGGGTCAGTTTTGTCTTTGTCTTCCTGTCGGTGATAGAGTACGCGGCGGTCAACTACCTCTCCACCGTACAGGAGAGGAAAGAGAGAAAGCTGAGGGAGAGAGTAAGTGCTATTTCATGCGACTTTTCTGTACTGCAGTTAAAACATGGTTAACCTATGAAATGTTGATCTTTAAATGATTCACATGGGCACTTTAACATTACTAAACCCGTCTTATAATCTCTCTGCTTTTACTGCACTTAAAGAAGAGTGCTTAAAAATTAAACACCTAAAAATATGTAAATCTCAGCAGCTCTTGGAAGCTTGAAAGTATTGATGTCCTGATTTCTCTTAAGTTGAAGTGCAACATTGCCAAGCTTGATTTTAGTGGGAAAATAGTTCAAAGACAAGGTAAATAAACAGCTGTATTTTTATTAAGTGATGAAATCAGATTTCTTTTCATACAGGGTTTGAATAATGAATGAGTGACCACCAGCTCATTCTCTCTTTTCAGTTTTTTTTTTTCATGTTGCAAGTAAAGATGAGGAGGAAAATGCTCTGATGTTTTCATTAATGATTAATTGAGACAGCTTGACTGTGCAGCAAACATTTTCTTCTTGTCTGGTGCTGTTTTTTTTTCCTAGTTGTAACCCTGATTTGGATCTGTGCAGAGGACATCACGACCTTTAGAGTTGTAGTTTAACACCCATCCCACGGCATATGATTAACCCTTTGAAATCTGGAGCAACATCACTTTTCTTGTGCTGCTTTCAGATGCTTTTCGCAAGTATTTAACCCTTTGAACCTGAAGCAAATTGATGCGGGGTTTTTTTTTTCAGCAACATGGGGGAAAAAAAGGCAATGAGTAACTTGGTAAGAAATGTCCCACAAATTGGGAAAAAATGGAAAATTATTTAAAAATAAAAACTAGGGAAAAAAGAAGGCTTGAGAAGAAATGTATTTATTATTATTATTATTATGATTACTAATCAAAATTATTATATTTCATTCTCTTTCACTCTATCTGCATCATTTCTTTGTTTTTAAATTTCTTTTTTTTACTTTTTTTACTACATTTCTTGTTTTTAATTTTCTCTTTATACTAATCTCTTGCTAATTTTTTGGGGTCATGTCTTCTTTCGTTGCTCATTGCCTTTCTTCCATGTTTTTAAAAGAAATCAAGCCAGTTTGCTCAGGTTTCAAAGGGTTAAAGGGTAGCTTCAGTATTTTTCAGCCTGGACTTTATGTTTTCATGCTGTTGCTTGCATGTATGTACGTATGTTTTTGTTTTGCCTGAGCGACTACAAAAGAATAGGATAGGATAGGATAGGATAGGAAACGATACGATACGATGCAGTACGATGTGGTACGATACGATATACTTTATTGTCCCCATAGGGGAATTTGTCTTGGACTCAGGAGCTGCACAAGTATTGCTACCTTACAATAATAGTCCAGAAGAAATTAAAAGCATACACCACAAAAAAACAACTTAAAAGCATACTACACATAGTAGTATTGCACATCAGCCACTCATGTATTTGCACATAACACCAGCACACAATAGAGCACCATTAACAAAACACAACACAACCCCTACAGCATCAACAGACATTATTTAAAATCTTTATTTAAATAATAATTTTTTATTTAGGTTGGCAAAAATGAATAATGATTAATAAGAGTTATATTAATAATGACTAATGGGAACAACAATTTTGAAAAACTGGTCCAGTATTAAGCTGCAGCCAGCAGCTGCAATACAGGCTGCAATACAGACAACATTGCTTTTAAGGATCCCTTCACAGATGGACCTGTTCGTTACAGAGTAAGATCCTATTTGTTTAACCAGAAACAGCCCTGAAGTCGCTATCACGAAACCCACCAGACTCCATTTAAATAAATAGTAATTTTAGCATGTATAGAGCCAGCATATTTGCATATCTAACTAAGTACAATAGGTGTTTATTTCAACCGAACCAGACTTGGTGATTGTTGGAAAAGTGGAAGATGAACCAAGATGGTTTTTGTGAGTTTTATTTTATTTCTATTGACTAACTTTGTTTTACGATGATAAAATTACTGTTGCATAAAATGGAGTCTGGTAGGTTGAGCAATTTGGGGGATTCAAAAAAAGCATCTTACTCTTTAACAAAAAGGTCTGTCTTTGTAGGAATCCTATGTATAATGTCGCAGACACTTACTAAACGTAAACTGATGATGCAAACGTGCCCCGAGTGGTTACATTGCAGCTTGTATTGTGGCTGACAGCTGCAGCCCTCTTTCTCAGTCCTGGACCAGTTTCAAAAATCTTTCCCATTAGTCACTCAGATACAAAAACATGTGAAAATAGCGTCCAGGTTGAAAAATACTGAAGTTACCCTTTAAGTTTTAGTTCATATTCTGCTGAGCGTTGCACCTGAATTATATTTCTTGGGAGCTTGTAGATTTCAGTGTGCAGACAGCCTTGTTCTTTTGCTTGAGGATGTTCTTTTGAAATATGACCACCTCATTAAAACGTGCGTCAGTCTAAATTATCGATGTCCAGCAGGTGCAACAGCAGGTGATTAAAGGTTAAAAGTCAAATGAAAATATTAAATTCACAAAAATCAGATCAAACCCACATTTACTCTGAAGCTTAAATCATTTTAAGCTCTCTATGGGCTGATTGGAATTGACTGAATGTTAAATGGCCAGCGGATAAAATTCTCACTGCAACCTGCAGATTAAGTTTTTCTCATTAATAGCAAGAAAGAAAAACAGCTGAAATAAAATGAAACAGACACATTACTGGATCTCTGTAAGTCAACACAGGAAAAACATGACCTGATTTTATATTAAAATATTTTACAAATTAAAATATTTCTTAACTGGTAGAAACATAAATTAATACTTCATGTGCATTTCCAATAAACAGATAAATATTTTCTAAATTGGCTCACTTTAAGCTGCTCTCGGGGCTACGGCAAATTATTTCTGGGACTACAGCTTGTGTACTATATTGCTATTCTTCATCTGCCAAATGCTACAGCATATGGAGCCAAATTGCCCACGTACCCCGAGGAACATTTCCAGCACAAACATCCTTCTATAAATGTTTCATGCCAAAGTTATTTAAAGGTCCTGAGTGTGCAGAAAAATGATAAACATTTAACAAACTAATGTATTTTTTTCTCATTTAAGTCAATGACTTTACAGAAAGTTGCATTCACAACAAACAGATGTGTCAAATGACTTTTATGTTAACTTTTTTATCTCTCTAGCTGCCGTGTACGTGCGGCATTGGCAACCCAGACGAGATGATGATTGACCCCCAGATCACTGGCTACGGGTCAATGGATGTCAACACCACGGGGAATTACGGGATGCCAGAGAATGGCGGCCGCCAGGATCGAATGTTGGCTCAGGTGTCACTGAATGACCCGCAGATCGCAAGCCAGGTGAAGCCATCCAGAGGCTACGTGAACATTTGGATAGACACCCACGCCATAGACAAGTACTCGAGGGTTGTGTTTCCTGGAGCGTACATCCTCTTTAACATCATCTATTGGTCCATCTACTCGTAACCCGGGATGCAGAAGTAGATCCTCTTTGGGAGTTGTCCGTGATGAAACTCCAGGAGTTTGGCTCCTTTGTGAAGGAGTGGGAAAATATTGGCATTTGATGCTTTTCAGGCAGAGAAACTGCACTTAAGATGCATGGGGACCATTGACAGATTGGTTACCATTGCCTTCTCGACCCAGCCACTTAAAACTGAATGAGCTACCGACAAGCAGGACAGTCGTCGTCACTGGTTTTGTCATTCCATCAAATCTATGTGGTTTCATGTTGTAACTATAGTGCTGTTGGTGGAAAGACGTTCTTGTTGTCGCCTGAGGACTTCACTGCACAGAGAGACGCACAAACACGGACCTGTGTAACTCACTGGAAATGTGACCTGGAAACTGACATTGCCAGCATATGGACAGACTCCTTCTGCTTTGCATATGAACTAAACGAGAAGATTGCTCTCATGTCTGTACATTGAATACGAAGCTACAGCCAGGGGATGGTTAGCTTTGCCTAGCACAAACACTGTCAACATGGGGCACTGTAAATAGCTACCCTGCTCTGTCCCGACTTCAAAAACAACAAGTTATATCTCCTTTGTTTCATCTGTACAAAAATGGATGTGTAGAAACAACATTTTTCTATTTATATAAAACCATATACTGAATCACATATTTGTTTACAATTACTTCAGGTAGAAAATCCACGCGTCACGTACATAAAATTAAACGGCACCGAGGAGACGCTGCCTCAACTGGTTATTTTAGTGCCTCAATCAGTTTAGTATAGTTTCTTAGGATCCCCATTAGCTAATGCCCTGATGGTAGCCAGTCTTCCTGGGGTCCAACACATAAATTGCACAATTTAACAAAAAATGTTGTACATTATATACACATTCAAACATCACATTACCATAGAAAAAAAAAACGAAAAAATCCCTCATCAAATGCTCGACACTTGTTAGACACTTTCATAACTTACATTAATCTCATTTACAGTTTGTTCATACAGTTAATTGCAATAAATACTCCTTTAATGTTATCTTGTAAGGTAATGCAGGGAAAATAGTCCAAGTATAGCGTTGCTTGAACTTATACTGATATTTTTAGGTGAGTATTTATAGGCATGTAAAATACATTTTGTCCACAGCAGCACAGGCGGGCGGCTTTGGATCAGGCCGTCCACTAATTAGAAGATCAGCTGTTGATCCCTGGCTCCTCCAGTCCGCATGTCGAAGTATCCTTGAGCAAGATAATGAACCCTAAATTGCTCCTTATGGCTGTTCCATCAGTGTGTGACTGTGTTCAAACTGTGTGCGAATGGGTGAATGTGACTCATAGTGTAAAAGTGGTCGGAAGACTAGAAAGGCGCCATACAAGTGCAGGTCCATTTACATTACTTAGCTTCCATGCCGGTAGATTTGGTTAATCAAAGTTGCTAGCAAAACAGCACAATACATAAAATAAGCACAGCAGACACATCAGACCATCGTGTTTACCTTCATTCATTCATTTTCTGTAACCACTTATCCTGCTGGGGGTTGCAGGGGGGGCTGGAGCCTATCCCAGCTGACATTGGGCAAGAGGCGGGGTACACCCTGGACAGGTCACCAGACTATCACAGGGCTGACACATAGAGACAAACATTCACACCTACGGGCAATTTAGAGTCACCAATTAACCTGTATGTCTTTGGACTGTGGGAGGAAGCCGGAGTACCTGGAGAAAACCCACGCTGACACAGGGAGAACATGCAAACTCCACAGAGAAGGGTTCCCCCACCCTGGGGTTCGAACCCCCCACCCTATATTCAAATCAGGAACCCTCTTTCCACCGTGCCACCTCTATATATATATATATATATATCTTTACAGTTGTAATTTCACATATCTCTGCTGTTTAAATCAATTGATAGTTGTCAATCTAGAAGTGATTGTAGCAAGACGTCATGTGATGAGATCCATTTCTTTGCTGGGACCAGAGGCAATAAACAGTCGGGGACATAACAGAGCATGTACTTTGCTTTTACACTTTAGTTTTTGTACAGATTAAACAAACAAAAGTGAATTAGTGAGCTTTAGTGGTGCTGGCAGGCAGACGTTGTCTTTGGACAGAGGCTAGCTGTTTCCCCCCCGTTTCCAGTCTTTGTGCTAAGCTAAGCTAACCGTCTCCTCGCTGTAACGACTTGAGATTGGTATCAATGTTGTTATCAAACTCTTGGCGAGAAAATGAATAAGCGCCATTTCCCAAAATGTGGAACTACTTTGCTGAAAGCCAGATAACCTGATTATTCTTAAAGTTTTTTCTTTTGCAGCACGTTAGTATGATTCAGTATGTGTTACATTTTCTTGTGATCTTTGTATCGATGCAGCTATTTTGCTGTCGAGCTACCTACTGCGTTGCATTTGTGTAATTTGATAAAGTTTAGTAAAAAGGGCAGAATAATGCAGTCTATTAAAATCACAAATGTAAAAATATATGTTTAGTAAATCCCAAACACCGATCATGATACTGACTTTTTTTTTTAATGTCCTTATTTCTTCTTTTTTTTTTAATACAACTGAAGCTCATCTCCTCTGTTTGGTGTTGTGAGGCTTTGAGGTTCACTGTGACCTGTTAGTTGCTAGTTTTATCGTCTTTTTCAGCTTAAAACAACTTTATACTTCATTAGACAAAAGATATATTAAAGATATCTTTTGGTGGTTCATGACAATTCACTGACCAAACATACAGATATTAAATAAAACTTTGGAAAAAATGTTATATATGAGAAAAAAAAAAAGTTTAATAAATGTTTTGTTTTCTGACATTGTGAAATTATTGGAGCGGAGCTTTGGTGCTGACCCACACAGTCACAATAATGTACATCTTAAATCTCCATGTAATACATTTAGTAGGTACAAATGTGAATGTGAAATGAATATTGCTGCAGCAGACATCAATTAAAAACAGCTAAAAACACATACAACAGACACAGTTGAAGCATTTGGCAATGTTTTTCTGGTGCAACCTCTCAAGTCCCAAATTTTTTATCCTATTTTCCTGCTCTCTTATACAGTATATTTAAACAGTGCTGGAGGATAAGCTTTCACACTTATTAGACATTGGATTGCCACCAGCTCCAGGTCTGATTACTGATGAGCTTTCATACCAAATCATATAAACTGCATATTCTGTAATACTATTAGCTGCTCACATGTGACGTAAGGGATATACTGTATATTTATATTTTATAATAAGCCAATTTTATGATTTCTTACAGGCAAAAGTGTGGATGTTGAAGAAACCTTTTTTTTTTTTTTTTTATTCTCCTTTATATCCCTGAGGGCAATTTAACAATTCAAACTCTGTGCCCTGTCATTCCTCAAAAAAATCACTGCAGCAGAAAGACATGAAAAGAATAAAGCATCAAAAAGATGTAGAGAACCCGATTTGCAAGCACATCTGTGACCACTCAAAGACAGCCAAGGTTTTGAATCGACCTCTGTGCTGGAGGAAGCATGCCTAGAAATCTAAATGAGTGAATAAGCCATTAGGATTGCTTAAAGATGTAGAACTAAAAGCAGATTGACTTCCTGATCTGGTCAGGGGGTAATATGGTAAAGAGTAGAAGTCAGTCCATCAAATTACAAGAACAAAGATGGCAAGAATAATAAAGTGTTCTTGATGTAAGGATAGCAAAGATGTAAGAGTGTAGGCAAATGGGCGACATCATACTATCAACACAATAAATACCTCTATCATCATCAATAAAATAATTTCTAATTAAAAATCTGAAAATAAAATTAAATCCAATCCATCCAAGCCAGCCAAGGATAGTGATTCTATGAGATTGTAGTACTATTACACAAAATCAAATTTTGACCAGAAATCATTCAATAGTTATATGGAGATAAAAACAAAACCGTCAAACTATGGCAGCGCTAGACAAAGAGTCAGGTGATCACCAGCGACAGATTTCATAATCTGAGAACCATGAATGTTTAAACAAAATGTCATGTTAATCTATCCACTAGTTGTTGAAATATTTCAGTCCAGACCAAAGTGGTGGATCAACAAACCAACAGACTTAACCATCCTTGAAACCATGGCTAAAAACTATGACTGTACATTAAGATGGACAACACGTCTCCACGTCCTCTCACTGTACAAAAATGAAGCCAAAATATCCTGGATACGACGGCTGCCATCTTGCACTGATGACATCATTTGGAGCCGGAGTATGTGCTTTAGCCACCTCCGCAGTTTGTATTGAGTATTGTATTTGTATTGAGTTCCCGCCATCCGACCAATCACTAGCAGTGCCATTGATTGGCGCACACAGCTGTCAATCACGGCGTCAAACCCCCTTTTTATAGAGTGCTCAAGGGATGACGTTTTTCTGTAGCCCAACGTGGAAGTTAGCGTCGCCCTGGTTCCCTGGTCAAAAAGCCAATTCTGGATTGTTGCACAAAATAAACTCTACCATGTTTTGTTTAGCAAAATAATCTTTACAAATGAGCAACACTTTTATGATTTTCGAAGCTTAATTGCAATTGCCAGAGGTAAAAAGCTAACGTTAGGCTATGAACGAACTACACCACAGTCGCATGTCTTAGCATCCCTCTCACAACGAGGCTGTACGGCTGCAGTTCTGTGGTCTCATTTAGCGTTAGCAACCACCATTTTGTAAGACACACAAAACTTCAAAATTCCAAACCATGTCAAAATTTATTTGACAAGAACTTTGAGTTTGTATTTTGGCCCATCTGCTAACATGGAGGGGACGGGGTCTGACCTATACTGCAGCCAGCCACCAGAGGGCGATAGAGACATTTTGGCTTCACCTTTGCAGAGCTGTTGTGCCTTCCTCTTTATGATACAGTTTATTCTAAAACCTATTTAAAAATACACAGAATGAATATCAAGAAGTTAGCCATACACTTCTTAGTTTCACTTAGGTCATACTTTTTCCTTCTATTTAAAACTGTGGTGTTATTCTACTTCTGTTTACTTCTTGCTATTTACTTCCCACGCTGATTTTAAACCGCAAGCAACAACTGGTAAAACCAGTTCTAGTCTGGTGGGAATGAGCTCGTCCAATCTGACGAAGGTGGTATTTGAGATACTCATAGGCCCTGTTGTCATAAATATTATAAACCACACTGCGTATAGCTTTACGTCTCTATCCATCAAAAGGTACAAACTGTTGGAAGTGCTGTTCCCCAACATGAGCTCTTTAATTAAAGCCCAAAAACCCCTTACTAACTTGTCAGCTATGAAATTGCCCCATAATTACTATTAATGTAACTTTGTGGAGCTGTCAAAGCTGTATCGCTGCCTTCTTGTAATTTCTCCTATTTCAGATTGGCCAGGCTGAAGTCGTCTCTCACTTGCTTCAGCAGATCAGGGCTGCACACTACATCCACAGCTGTCATAGCCAGGGCTTTGGCTGTCCTCAGGGTGAACAACTGGGCCTTTTCAGCTCCTGGCACAGGGAAAAAAGCAAAAGACGGGAAAATAAAGCATCTCTGCAAATACAAACTGCCAGTGACCTGGAAAGACGCTCATGACTGAAAGCGTCTGATCGCAGTGCAGTTCGCTTTCATCACAGGAAACAACATCTGCTCCCGACAGACATGTGCAGCTGTACCTGCTGCTTTGGTGTATTCCTCAGTGTGGTTGAGCGCATCGGTGCCGATGTAGAAGAAAGGATGGATACCGGGAACTATGAATGATACGTTGCCAAAGTCTGTGGAACCTGCCAGATAATTATGAATACACTGTGATAATGATTCTTTGTTGATAGGGTAAACAACAACAAAGACAATCACTAGATTGCGGCACTGCTGTTACACTTTTTTACATCTCTATTGCACAAACCAGAGAAAGAAAAAGATGATAATGTGTTTTTTTCACATACCAACGAAGTTGGCCAGCTGCTCTGGGAACTGAATCCCCAAAGCTTTCCCATTGTTTTCATACAGGGTTGCCAGCGTGGCATTAGGCAGAATGTTATAGTAGGCATGATATGGATAGATCATCTCCACCTGAGGGAAACACAAGCACGCCCTCATTCATAAACTGTAGCATACAAAAATAGACATTACTATCATATATCAACAGAATATGGAGACCCATGCATCTGTAATGTGAACTGCCTGAAGCAGGTGCAGATGTAGGAGAGAAGCAGCCTGGAGATAAAGGTGAATTATGTAACAGCAGAACAACACTCAGAGCATAATTACAGGAATATGTTAAAAAGGGCGACATTATATAACAGTCAACTCCGCCGTTGCATTCCTCAGCAATTATATTCACACACACTGTTTGCTCTTAAATCTGTGCCAGAGGGGAGCGAATGGGAGACAGCGTTTTTAGGTTAAGCTTACTCGGCAGCCGGTGGCAACAGCAGCTGCCCTGAAGCAAGCCTCAGCTTTGGCCTTTAGGTCATTAAGATCCTTAACCAGGGGCGTGCGCAGATAAAAGTCTAGCTCCGTGTAGGCAGGGATGATGTTGGGCTTCACCCCTCCATGTTTGATGATGCCTGTAGGAGGGGAAATGGACACAATGGAGGACAGTTCTCATGCATGTCGGCTTAAACATTAAATGGACTTTAAGGTGAGCTTGTTTAAAATTAACTATGAAGCTCAGCTGAACACAGATTCTTCCTCTTCCTCACCATGAAGCCTCCAGTCTGGTTTGAGTTGCTGCCTGAGTGCAGAGAGGTTGTTGTAGGCCAACACAGCAGCATCCAGGGCGTTCACTCCCTCCCATGGGTACACAGAGGCGTGAGATTCCTTCCCATGGTACTTCACCATCACCCTATTTAACATCAATATAGCGGGTTAAGGGTTATTCATTAGAGAGGAAGTTGCAGATCCAGAGGGGCTGTGATGGGAACTTACTCATCGAGTGTGACACAGGGCAGGAATGAAGCATCTTGCTGAGCCGGGTGAGCCATGAAGACGAGGTCGACATCAGCGAAGGCTCCCGCATTGATCAGGTCAATCTTTCCTCCTATATCCTCCTCCGCAGGAGTTCCCAGAACTGTTATCTGGTATAACAAAGTGTTGAATTCAGTCATTTGACAGCATCATATCAGCTCTGGTCAAATAAGTGTTTTAAACTAAGAGGATGACATTCACTCTTGACCTTTGAAACAGTGGTTTTAACTCAAGGTCCGCTACTTACAAGCGTTTTCAGAGTACACAAATCTAACATTTAAAGTCTCTCTTAATGGATGGAATCTGCTTCATATGCAAAGATGGGCGCCTTTAAACGGAGGCAGGGGATACAGATCTTTTCCTCCCTTACAGGACCAGCTTTATGTGCACTGTGATGCAATGTGGAGGCGAAATGTGATGAGTAACATTCTGGATTTTGTTAAGATATTTCCTGTTTTATTTTGAAGTACTAACCTCTTGTGTCATTCCTGTGTTTTCCCGCCTTTCATCATCCACACCTGCTGCCACTTACTCACCTGCCCCTGATTACCTTCTTATCCATCTTTGTGTGTATATAAATACCCACCAGCTCCTCATGTCTCTGCCAGATTGTCTTTGTTCTTTTGTGTTATAGCTTTTTAGCAATCTGTGTTTGATTCCCTGGATTTTTTTTTTGATTTTTTTTTACTTTGCCTGTTTTGGATTTTTGCCTACTCCCTGTCTGTTTTGTTTTTGGACTGAAGTACAGATTGTGTGTTTTTTTTTTTAAACCCTACTCTGCCTCCTGTGTGTTCTCTGCATTTGAGTCTGAGTTTTCACCAGAGTTGTTACATCACGTTTAAATGGGGTTCAGACATTGATCATAAGCAGATATTTTTATGACCGCCCTTGCTAATGATTCAGATTGGCACCCTGAAATATACCTGTTTTCATAAAAAACACACACACACACACACAAAAACATTAAAATAAAAATTGTTACATTTTCTATAGGTTATATGCCCTCAAAAATGCAAACCCATCTCGTCACGATTTTTTTTCTTCTCTTTTTTTTGAGTAAAATAGTGAGTTGCATTCTATAGCAAAAGTAAATACTTATTCTACATAAACTCCAAAAACTATGAGTAAACTGCATATTAAAGCATAATTTCTTATTTTCTTTGATATTTTTGTCATATGCAGGTATGCAAAAATGATTGTTGGTAACATTTATGTTCATGTTGTCTAATGCCAAGTCTCTATTTGATCATGGGACAGGACGATATGATACAGTATCTAGTTTAGGCGCAAAATCTGTCATGACTGAAAAGCTGAGCACATCTACAAGTCCAGTGAGCAGTCACGCCTTTCAAGCATAAACGCAGCAGTAAAAAATGACAAGAGAAAAACAAACAGGAAGAGAAAGTAGCAACGTTCCCTCAATTAGTTTCCGTTGGATTTTGTATAAACATTTGCCAGTGGTGTGTGTGTGCCTTATAACTAGTAACTAGCGTGCATTAGGGCCCATCATAACTACCTAATGCCACAGCTGCTATGAACTGATGACTAAACAGGCATGCCAGGCAAAGGCCCAGGGGCCCAAAGTGTTGGGGCCCTCCTGGAACTTCATCTAATAAATGCCACTGAAATTACCAAGTAGAGAACCAAGAGAAAAACACCACAAAGAGATGCAAAGGACTGAAAATATACACAAAATAACAATAAAAACAGGCAAAATAACCACAAAGAGACACAAAACCACAAAAAGATGAGTAACGACTACAGAAAAACCTCAACATCAACAAATAAATCACCACTAAGTCTGTGTATCTTGATTCTTTTGTAGGAGAGGAGGTGGCACCTTTTGCAAACCTGTGCCCAGCTGCCTATTGTTTCATAATCTGCCCATATTTACTATAAATAAAAAGTATTATGATGCAAAATATACTCATGTAATGCAATAATTGGTAACTTTTCACCATAAGTATTGGAAGTGCAAACGCTGATTTTTGCAGACTCGTCGAATTTATAGATATATCACTGGAGGTAATAAAAATATATTTAAATCTATTGGCTGATGTCCCTACTGAGAGTCACCATGTTTTGTTATTCTTGGCCATTTTTCCTTACTGTCTATGTAACAGGCTAAATGTTGTGTTTATTTCGGTCAAGTCTGCCTTTTTTTGTTTTTTGATTTTATTTGTATGTGAGTGGAGTATGTTTGTTAGTCTGTACGTATATGTCAAGTTGTTTTGGAGATGAAAATTAAATCAAATATGAAAAAAAAAAATAGCAAATAACCTCAAAAAATTAAACTCGTATTAGATAACCTCTTGTATCCAGGATGCATCAACACAACTTATCTTATCTGGTCATCTATGTCATTAAATACATGTATGTAGTGTAAAAACATCTCCTGTTGTTATCTATAAAATGTGATTTTATTTCTTTTATTGGTTGAGTCATATCGTTTAAAGAGTGACTCATCAGAGGAGTTGACTGACAGATTTATGGATATTATAAGTGATCATAACAGAGAGCTGTCACTTGATCTATGGCTGTTTATTCGTTCCTGGTTACCTTCACAGGTCTAGGGAGCCCAGTCTGCCTCTCTAAAGCAGCCTTCAGCCCCACAGCTGCAGCAGCTCCCACCTCTGCTATCAGGTTGTGCCCGCACGCGTGCCCGATACCGGGAAGTGCGTCGTACTCGCACAGGAACCCCACATTCACAACCTGTTCACCACCAGCACCACCACCGACCGGACCCCAGCTAGCCCGGAATGCTGTCGGTATCTTGTAGTGAGTCTCCACCGTCCATGTCTTGTCCTGGGAGAAGAAGCGCACCAGCCTGTCGTGCGCGTGCGTCTCGTTTCCCGCGAGTTCAGGTCGGCTCCAAATGTCCCGACTCAAACTGTGCAGCTCGTCTTTGTGTGTGTCTATGCACCGCTGCAGGGTGTCTTTCATCTGCTGTGGTGTGTCCATGTGTCCGGACTGTCCTGCTCAAATTTTGCCCCAACCAGACAGAGTGGTTGAGACCGGAAGTAGTTTTACTGCTGTAAATTTGCTTTTGACAGCATAGTTTCCTCTAATGTTTTCACCGGTTTTCACTCAGTTACTTAAGTTAAAGTAGCAATACCACAGTAGAAAAACAGAAATCCTGCATTTAAAATCACATTTAAAAATAGTCAGGATCAGAAATACTTTATTGATCCTGAGGGGAAATTGTGATTAAACAAGATAAATAAAATGGAAATGAAAAAGTAAATAAAAATAAAATGTGCATTATGCCACAGTGTTAGACACTAGTCCTTTAAAACCTGAGCAAATTGGCTTGATTTCTTTTAAAAACATAAATAGAAGGCAATGAGCAAAGAAAGAAGAAATGACCCCCCAAAAAAAGGAAAATTAAAAACAAGAAAAAAAAACAACAACAAAGAAACAAACCAGGAAATGACCTGGAAAGAGTGCTTAGAAATTATAATAATCCTGTAAAATAATTTTCAAAGGTAATAGTAGTAATAATAATAATAATAATAATAATTAATAATANATTTGTGGGCCTTTTTTTAACCAAATTGCTCATTGCCTTTTTTTTCTTTTTTTTCTTTTTTACCATGTTAAAATAAAAAAAAATTAATTGCACCAATTTGCTCAAGATTCAAAACCTTAAATACTTGAAAAGTGATGTTGCTCCTGGTTTCAAAGGGTTAAGATATTAAAATATTAAAAATAGAATATATATCATCACTGAGCTGAGGCTGTAAGTGTAAAATCTAACTTCAGTATATACATCAATAGAATAAAATAAAAGTAAACAAGTTGTATACTGAAATATATTGCAGTTTTATACTTGCACAGAATATTGCACAGTTTAATAGTTTAATTGCACCCAGTAGATGATAATGAATTATAAATGCAGAATGTGAATAAATTCCAGATGCCAGTCTACTGACTCAGAGCAGCTGTACAGGTTGATGGCCACAGGCAGGAATGATTTCCTGTGGCCTTCTGTGGTGCATCTTGGGGGAATGAGTCTGTCACTGAATGTGGATGGGAGACATTGTCGAAGATGACACGTATCTCAGGCAGCATCCTTCTCTCTGACACTGCCACTAGAGAGTCCAGCTCCACCCCTGCTACGTTACTGGCCTTACGAATCAGCTTATTGAGTCTGTTGGCATCTGCTACCCTCAGCCTGCTGCCCCAGCACACAGCAGCAAACAGACTCACAAAACATCCTCAGCATTGTGCGGCAGATGTTGACGGACCTCCTCAGGAAATAGAGGCGGCTCTGGTCCTTCTTGTAGAGAGGTTGTGTGCTTGCACCAGTCCAGTTTATTGTGTATATGCACTCGCAGGTACCTGTAGTCCTCCACAATGTCCACACTGACCCCATGGATGGAAAAATGCATCACTAATGTAATACAATATTATTGTTATATATATTATTATCTAATATAATGTCTTGGTTTTGGACATCAAGGGGCAAAGGGGCATGTGTTTGAGCACCCTCAGCTTCCCTCTCTGCACGTGTCTGTACTCAAGGAAAGTAACCTACAAGTACCTCAAAACAGTATTTAAGTACAGTACTAGAATAAATGCATGTAGTTACTTTCCACTACTGGCTAAAACGAATGCCCTCTAATACAACAGTGCTGCAGTCAGTGATATTTTTGACTTAAGTAAAAATAGAAATACCAAAGTTTGACAAGTAAAAGTCCTTCATCTAAAATTTTACTGGAAAGCAGTGGTATAAAATATACTTAATGTACCAAAAGTAAAAGTTTTCAGAAATGGCTTATTTCAGCAACTATACATTATATACTGCTGGGTAGTTTAATCCATAATAATATATCATAATTGATATTTTAACTATATGTTGCATTAATAATCTGAATCTGCGATATAATTAGGAACTGCAGCTTTAAAATCAGTGTAGTAAATGTAGTCATGGAGTTAAAGGGACAACATTTCCCTATTAAATGTAGTGTAGAATAAGTGCAAAGCATAAAATAGAAGTACTCAAGTAAAGTACAAGTGCCTCAAAATTGTGTTTAAGCACAATATAATGAAGTTAATGCACTTACAGGTATCTACTCTCTACCTCTGGTTAAAAATGAATTCAGTCTAATACAACAGCTGTACAATAAATCCTCTTGCTTCATCCTCTTGAGGGTCGCGGGGGGGCTGGAGCCTATCCCAGCTGACATCGGGCGAGAGGCAGGGTACACCCTGGACAGGTCGCCAGACTATCGCAGGGCTGACACATAGAGACAGACAACAATTCACGCTCACATTCACACCTACAGACAATTTAGAGTTATCAATTAACCTAGTCCCCAATCTGCATGTCTTTGGACTGTGGGAGGAAGCCGGAGTGCCCGGAGAGAACCCACGCTGACACGGGGAGAACATGCAAACTCCGCACAGAAGGGCTCCCACGCCCGGGATCGACCGGCTGTGAGGCGAGAGTGCTAACCACCACACCACCGTGCCGCCCACAATAAATCCTTCTCTTCATTAATGTTAAGCTTGCACATCGTTCTGCTTCATATTCTACCTTGAACAATTCAGTTAACTGAGAATGAAGGGAAGAAATCCTTGACAATTATCGAGAGGGTTTATTCATTTTATCTATTTATGTATTGCCTGCAGCAACTCATTTGACTGTGCACACACTGCAAGCAAACAGTACCGGTGTTAAAACTGTTTTATTCACTGTGGTCGTTCTGACAGGCTGCACTTTGTGGTTCTGTTGGACTGACAAGTGTTTCTATTATTTTGCCCACCCTGTTTATATCAGTGAGGCCTATGAGCATTAATGCAGGGCTGCATTAGTTGTAATAAGATAATAAAGTGGCAGGTAGGGGTGTATTTTGGGACACAGATTTACAATTTGACTTTGAACCTGGAATCTGCTGACACATGTGCTTCAGTGTGTAGGCTATTGTTTTGCTGCACAACAAATCAGTCAATCATTTATTAAGGACCACACGGCTGAAGGTAGAATTTGTTTTCAGTACGGCATGGTGGCAACAAAATGGCTCTTTTGAAAGTGTTGCTGACCCCTGACCTGTAGCCAGACAGCCATGATGTAGCATATATTTAATGAGTCTGACAAGTAGTAGGCTTTTTGTGTTGAGCTACAGTCCCTTTTATTTTTATTTAGTGTTAAAATTTGAAAACGCTATTTAAAAAAAGTTATTTATCTAAAATATTTTGTCATTTATGTCACATTTCCTGGGATGTACCTGGCCTCAACGCCTGTTTCTGTTCTTCTTTTCTACAATATTTTTTCCACAGATGAAGACCATCCTGATGGCTGCACAACCTTATAGTAACAGAAGCACTTCCAGCTTGCTGATAGTAGTGATGTACTGCTGTGCTCCCAGTTCTACTTTCATCAAACTAAAAAGGAGCCTAGGTAATATATTTTCATATGGAGAGTATGAGATTGATGCTGCAACACTTTTCTTTACATTTTGTGACTCATACAGAAAATATGTTGGTTGTGCAACACTGTGTTTTTCCTCTTAAATGCACTGAATTGTGCACAACAGAAATAGAGAAAAAGTATGTGAATGTCCTCTTTTATTAGCACCAGACTTTAAATGAGTCTCTTTGAAGCTGGGTCGCTAACTGCTGGCCACTATGTCACTCAATCCATGACTTTTTATCTGGTTACATGTTTGTAATGGGATTTATGGTTGTGCGTAGACCCTACGGCCTACACATGTAGCCTACGCCATTGTGAGCATTTATAATTGTGCAGTTACACCTCCAAAACACTAGGCGGCAGCAGGGTTTCTGCGAAGTGCTGTAAAGTTAAGTTGATTCAAAACACACATTAAACCAGTGTTGCCAACTTAGCGACTTTGTCGCTCTATTTAGCGACTTTTCAGACCCCTCTTTTTCAAAAAAGCGACTAGCGACAAATCTAGCGACTTTTTCTGATGTTATTGAAGACTTCTGGAGACTCTGTTGTGAGAGCACGTATCATTCTTGTTCTTCTCAACGAGCAGCGGGTGCTGTTGTGGGCTGCTCTCTCGCCCCAAAGCACTGACAGACGGCCCAGTCCTCCCTCCCAGCTGCAGTCAGAGCAGGAGACATTAACCCCTCCACGTCCAGACTGCAAGTGAATCGCGCATGCGCGGAACCGCCGCTGGCTGAGGGCGGGATGTAAATGTAAAATTGTCTTTGTCTAATATAGATCACTGAAAGAAGGTTCATTTGTAGTTCTAAACATATCCAGGGTGTTTTTTTACACAGTTTTTGTCTCTCCTACAGCGTCCATTACAATTACATTCATATGGACAATTATGCAAATTAGGCGATGATGTCATTTAGCGACTTCTAGCGACTTTTAGGGCAGCCAATAGCTACTTTTCTTACTAAGGAGTTGGCAACACTGCATTAAACACACATTAAACATGGCTTAATAGAGACAATTTCAAACACAAGTACACAAATCGGCTTCACTATAACTCTCAGCATTCACAGACAAACACTTTTTCCCTTTTTTACACATTTTCCCCACAAATACAACATGCTAACGTTATTATCACAAGCCTATGACATTTTACATTGTATGCACTAGCCTAGCAACTAGCGATCTTTTCCTCTTCTCATATAAAACCAGAGACAACAGCAACACTTAACAAAGGTAACGGCACACAGTTTTGCTCCATTACAACTCGCAAGGTTCACTGACAAAATAACTGTCTTATACTAAACACATTTTCTAAACAACCATAACATGCTAACGTCATTAGCACACATCTATGGCATTTTACATTATGTAAATTAGCCTAGCAGCCAGCGATCTTTCCCTCTTCTAATACAACACTGGAGACAACAGCAACATTTAACAAAGGTAAGGGCACATAATTTGTCTCTATTACAACTCACAAGATTCATCGACAAAACAACTGTCATATAACGTTACTTAACATATTTCCAAACAAATATAACATGCTAACGTCATTAGCACAAGACTATGGCATTTTACATTGTATAGATTAACGTTAGCCTAGCGGCCAGCGATCTTTCCCT